TCTTGGGGGGCCCAAGAGGCGACTCGAGGCACTCTAGAGGGGCAACGCTAATTGGGGACCCCCTCTTCTCTGATCGATCTCCTGCAAGATGGCCCCACGAGCGCCCCGAAGGCTCCCAAGAGCGCCCCAAGAGCGCCCCGAGAGCACCCCAAGAGGCCCCAAGAGGCGCCCAAGAGGCCTCCAAAAGGCTCCCAAGAGACCCCCAAAAGGCCCAAGAGGCTCCCAAGACGGGTCCAAGAGCGAAAAGGCGAGAAAACAAACAACATTGATTTTACCTAGGTTTTGGAAGGATTTTGGCTTCTTGGGGGGGCCCAAGAGGCGACTCGAGGCACTCTAGAGGGGCAGCGCTAATTGGGGACCCCCCTTCTTTGATAGATCTCCTCCAAGAAGGCCCCAAGAGCGCCTCGAAGGCTCCCAAGAGCGCCCCAACAGCGCCCCAAGAGGGCCCCAAGAGGCCCCAAGAGGCCCCCAAGAGGCCTCCAAGAGGCCCCCAAGAGACCCCCAAGAGGCCACAAGAGGCTCCCCGAAGAGGCCCCCCTCCTCCTACATCCTCCCCCTCTTGGGGCATATGGCGGCTCTCCCCGCCCTTTGTTCTTCTGCATGCTCCCCCGCTTCCCTCATAACCTCCACTCCCCTGGGACTCATTTCTGGACGGGCTGGTGGGGATACGCGAAGCGTCTAGAATTGCCCAATATGCTGCAAGGGCTGTCCGATTAGTCTCAATCTTCTTCCGCCCAATCGTAGGGACGCACTCGCAGCAGGAGAGCGCCCCCCCGGAATGCCCGACGCTCAGGAATGGTGACTGCCTGACGACAGGTGTTCACAAAGGCTGGACGGGCAGTGCCGGATCGAAATGTGGAACGCATGCTCCGGAACACGCGCATCCCAATGCTGCCCGGTGACGCTAGGAAGTTGGACATCGTCGTCCCAAGCAAGACTGAATAAAGCGCGGGGGCAGCTGCTTTTCCGCGACACCATTGTCGTAACGCCAATCTCTCGTACAGGCAGGCCCCGGGGCGGCACGAGCAATAGAGGTGGTAGGCTCCTTGAGGAGGCTGAACGTAAAAATAATAATACGTATCGTGCAATGACAGCATCAGGCCTAGGAGCTCTGTACAATTTAGGGGCAGAGGTTTACGGGCGATGGACCACCCAATGTGTAGAACTAGTCCCGGCGCTGGCTCGGGAGCGAACCCGAAGGCTTCACCCTAGAGTTCGGCGCGGCACAGCGTTAGGTCTACAGCATCGATGGTAGGGAATTCTGGGAATAGCTCTGCAGAGATGTGTGGCGCACAACGTTCTCAATGAATGCGCGGATCTGCCACGAGAAGTCCGCGAGCCGGCAATGCCGCTCGCGGATCTGCACATGCCATAACCAGCTGTCCTCGTCTTCGTCCTCCTCCTCCTCCTCCTCCTCCTTTTTCCTTGCCTAGCCACGCGCCACGGCTGTGCACGTTCTGTGTTTGACCCCATTCGGGTTTGGCGATCGGCACCTGCAGGTGTGTGTGTGTGTTTGTGTGAAAAAAAATCGAACAAATCTACACACACCAACCTTATACAGTAATTGGCATTACTAATCGACGAGGGAACATATTTTTCTGATAGAAAAAGCTGGTTGTACTCGTGCATGGGGCCGTTGTATTAATACGGCTTCTCACGTGTCCAATGTAAACAGAGTTTCTGCTACCGACCGACCCAATTCGGCGTTATCTCGGTATAGCAAAACGTACGAGACCCACAATCCAGTCCCACTAACTGACATGCGCTGTATTGATGGCTCTTTTCTTGTTGCTGATATTTACCTTTGTTTTGCGATGCGAGCGTTCTGTCTCCAATTTCAGGGAATACGGCTCTCAAATCCGGAACAACTGGTGAACTTACTGCCAGCTCTTGCTCGGGAACGTACGCGAAATGTACACGAGGCGCTCCGGAAAACATGTCTTTGGGCTTACTACACCGCTGGGCCGGGCTTCTGGCCATAGCGGTAAAACGAAGTGTGGCGCGAACTCTGAGCTCTGGAAGAGACTTGCCTCAAACATCTCGTGAGCCGGCGTGCCCAGTAGCGAGCTCGAAATTGTTTGATTATCCTCCTCCTCCTCCCGCCGGTGTCTTGGCGGCTGCGCGCGGAGAAAAAAAAAAACGCGCAGGCCAATTAACCCATTGGCAGCGCGAGTGCGTGATTCCCGGCAGGACGCGGAATATGGGTTTCCAGAATTGCCACGATGGGCTTCCGTAGTTGCCACCAGAGATTTCCAAAATTGCCAGCACGGGTTTCCATAATTGCCCACACGGATTTCCATACTTGTATCAGTCCCGCGAATCATGCCTGAACCCCCAACCCCCTGGCCGGATTTGTTCTTTCCTGCCGACTACCTTACAACTAGTATTCGAGTATGATGTTTTAGCGCGCAGCTGCTCTTAGAGAACACATTCACATTGTCTGGCCGTGCAAGAGTGCAATTGGCACCATAATCTGAAAAATATGTTGTTCAGACTCTCTGGGGCGCCCTCCAGACTCTGGGGGTTGGGGGTTGCTCCGACTTTGTCTCTCGTTGTCCGACTGTGTCTCCTCGCTCCTACCCCCTGCCTCCTTCTCCTGGTCCTCCTCCCTGTTTCTCTTCCTACTCCCTCTTCGCCTGCTTTTCCCAGTCCGTTTCTTCCTCTTCCTCCTCCTCCTCCTCCTCCTCCTCCTCGTCCTCCTCCTCGTCCTCCTCCTCCCCCTCCTCCTCCTCTTCCTCCTCCTTCTCCTCCTCCTCAAGCCGCTCAACGGCGAGCGACAGCCCTATTGTTCAAGCTGGATCGGCATGTCCTTCCTGCTTGCAGTCGTTGGCTTCGCTCGTCGTGCTTGAGGAGATGGCGCGGGAAGACGCGGGTGATGCGCTCCCAGCCTCTGGCCGGCACCCAAAGCGCTTTTCTGCTGCGGAGCGCAAGGCGCGCCGTGCCTGGGCTCGTGCCTCGGCGGACAGTGCGATCCACAAGTTGTCGGGAGAGGTGGACCGCCTCAACGGGCTGCTGTGTGCGACGGAGGCGGCCCTGGCTAACTATCGTCAGCGACGCGGAAGCTGCGCAGCGGCTGCGGGCGCTCCTTCCCGCATTGCTGGCGATGCTTCGACGCGAGCCGCCTACATGGCTGGAGAGGCTGCGGCGCAACATCGCCCTCCACGCTGACGCTTCGGGCATCGACGTGGCGGCGACGGACGCTGCCTTGCTTCGCCAGGCCCAGAGCGGGCCCCGCCTCGAAGTGCGACGGGACGACGTGGGTCGTGGCGCTGCCAGCCTCTCCGCGGACGCCGAGGTGTTCGTGCCTCACGGCGTGGGCGACATGGGCGGCGGCGACGAGGAGCTCGAATACCAATTCGACGCAGGCTCGGCGACGGTCCCGTCGGTCTGGCCTGGGCTCTGGGAGGTCTGCGAGTCCCTACCATTGGTGCACGATGCCTGCTTGGGCCATTTGGGCCGTCTTGGTGGCGATGTGGGCCCCACTTTTTGGTCCTTCCGAAAGGCAGGCGGTCTGGGCCGAAGGCCCCTGGGAAGGGTTTGAAAATAAGAAGAGCAATGCAATGTCTGGCACGCAGTCCACCCCTGTGGCAAGCACAGGGGGCGGCGGATCGAAGACGCCTACCAGCGGCCGCTGGGTTGGTACGTAATTCCTGGGGCCTTCTTGGGGCCCTTTTAGGAGCCCAAGACCCCAGGAGTTATGTACCAGCGGCCGCTGGATTGGTACATAATTCCTGGGGCCTTCTTAGGGTCAGCCAGGGGCCTAAGAGGGCTCCAAGAGGGCCCTCAGAGAGCCCCAGGAGTTATGTACCAGCGGCCGCTGGGTTGGTATATAACTCTTGGCGCCCTCTTGGGGCCCTCTTAGGGCCATCTTATGGGCCAATCAGGGTTCCAAGAGGGCCTTAAGAGGGCCCCAAGAGGGGCCAAGCCGGAGTCCCACGGAGACCACCGGGTACCTCCGATGTCCCCCCGGGGGACACTGGGTAACTCCGATGTCCCACGGGGACCACCGAGTATTTCCGATGTTCCGCGGGGGACACCGCGTAACTCCGATGTCCCACGGACACCGCGTAACTCCGATGTCCCACGGGCCGATGTCCCACGGGGACCACCGGGTTTTTCGCTTTCGATGGCCTTCCGGGGCCTCAAGATGGCTCCAAGATGGCTCAAAAGGGCCCCAAGAACGGCCCAAGAGAGCCCCAAAACGGCCCCAAGAGCGATCCGAGAGCGCTCCAAAAGGCAATTTTAGGTACGCTACTTGAAGCTCCCCCTTCACTGATCGATCGCCCCCAAGGCTCCCAAGAGCGCCCCAAGAGGGCCCCAAGACCGCTCCAAGACGGCTCCGACTGGCCAAGATGGCCAAAATGGCCACTGCGAGGGTCAATGTTGGCATACCCTCACGAGGATCGTAGCCCCCGATGGGGGGGACACACATCGAGACCCCCCCTCCGACCGCCTCCAAGATGGCGCCAAGAGGCCCTCCTGGGCTTTTTTTTTTTTGTTTCCTCCCCCAAGCCCCCAGCGGATCCCGCCACAGGGCTCGTCCGCCGCAGACTGCGGCCAACCTCAGGCCTGATTGGCCTGGTCCAGCTGGTTGCCCTCCAGCTCGGACTTCACGCTCACCATGCTCACATAGTTGAACGTCCCCGTCTGCAGCCTCTGGAGCTGCTCTCAAGCCCCTCGCCGAGCTGGCAGGACGGCGCCCTGCTCCATCGGCTTGCCATTCTGCGGGTTCTTACCCGCCAAAATCCTGTCCCGCTTCTTCCTCTTCGCGTCGTCCTTGGTGGACCGCCCACGGGGCGCCAGCGGGCCTGGGCAGGCAGCCCCGAGACCCGCCCGACGCCTCGCCGAGTGAGCCCCGCACACCACGCACACCACGTACGGGCCATGGACTTCCACACGATGCGGCCTGCCCTGCACCTCAGGCACAGCATGTACTTCGTGTTGTTCTCCAGGCCGTGCTGCTGCTGGTGCTGCTGCTGCTGCGGCCTCCGCTGCGATGGCTACGCTGGCCTCCAGCGAGCTGCCAGTCCCCGCGCTGCGCGTGCCTGTTGCCTGCCAGAGTGGTCGTGCGCATTCCGCTTGCCACATCTTCAGGCGCATCCGCTTGGACGCCGCGCGAAAGCCACACCTCGTGCACACCTGCCAGCCTCCCTTCTCCACAACGTCGTGCTCGGTCAGGGTCAGCATCGGCTTCGGCACCCTTCGCCTCGGCACACCTTTCTCTTTGGGCGGCGCGTCTGGCCACGTGCCGCCCATCTTTTGGTGCCACCAACCAATGTTCTGCAGCGCCCAACGTACTCGCCCTGCAAGGTCCTCCAGCGCTTGTGGTGCTTGCCGTAGTGTGCGTCCATCCCCGCGCCCACCTTTGCCAGCAGGTCCACCTCGCTGTTGCCCTTCGCAATCTTCAGGCCCTCACCCTCGAGTTGCCCGATCCTGCTCTTGGACCTGTGGGCCTTTACGTGCTTCACGCAATGAATGTCCAGGTCCATGCCCTTCACCTTATGCCAGATCCTTCGCCACAGGTCTGCGTGTGGGCGCTTCCAGCTCGTGCACCACCGCTCTCCTCTCTGCAAGCCCTCCACGATGCCTTTGTGGTCCGTGTAGACGTGTCCTGGCGGCAGCATCCGTTCCAGCACCTTGAGGAAGGCCCGCATCTCGGCTCTCTTAACCCTCCTGTGGATCGGTAGCGAGCACGGCAGCGGACCCCACATCTGCATCTTCGCGGTGCCGTTGTCATTGAGGGACATCGCTGCCCAGCCCGTCTGCGCCCAGTCGCTGTATCCGAGCTTCGAGCCGTCGCAAACGATGTCGCCTGTGAAATAGTCCTCCTCACCGTCGACCACTTGTCCGTAGTACTGGTCCTCCTCGACTCCCACGAACTTCCAGTCCGCCTCTGGCGACCTTACCAGCCCGCGCGTCCACAGCATGTTGGTGTCCTGCTGCTCCGCCACGTGCTGCCAGTCTGCCTGCGCCTGCAACCTCTGGCTCCTGAGCGCATGGCACTTGTAGTACCGATGATGCTCGGTGCCCACCGCCTCTCCACAGGCCAAGCAAATGTCCGTGGGTACGATGTTGCACTTGCACAGCTTCTCCATCGCCCACGCACCTCCGACGAAGACCTTCTTCGCCGCATTCTTCGCATGCTTCGGGACATCACGTGCACGTAGCTGCGCAACTGCTGGCGCCAACAACGGCATTGGGCTCAGGCTCTTGAACTCCTCCGCCTGCGTCCATTCCTCCCAGAGGGTTGCCTGCACGTCTTTGCGCACCATCGCCGCGATGTCCATGGGGCACACCTCCTGCATGTTCAACACGAAACCTTCCTTTGAGACGAAAGTGTGCCACGCAGGCCATGTCCACGTAGCCCTCCTTATTGACATGGTGACTGCCCCTGCTGGACCTCGCACTCGGGCCCAATCAGGCTTCATGCCGACCTCCTGCTGCTGCCGCCTCCATGCCTGCTGCAGCATGGTGGCTATGTTGTCCCATTGACCTCCTCCGTCCTCGTCGTGTACGCCATGCCATACTGCCCGCGCCCACCTCACTATGGGCGACTCTGTGACCTCGTATGTAGGCTCCTCCTGCGCCACTGCCAGCTGCAAGGTGAGGCTGCGAGCTCCTCGTCCCCCTGGTAGTAATCTCCCTGCCTCTCGCCGTAGCTGTCGAATCTGGTCTGGCATGCCCAAGCACTTGCACCCATGCATAACCGAGCGCTTCAGGCCACACTTGTACACCAAGCCGACACCCTTCGTCATTTTTCGCCCGCCCTTTAGAGCGAGCAACCTGCGACTCCTGACCTTCATGACAGCGTGCCTTTTGCCGCTCTTGGTCTTCGCCGCCGTGCCGTGCGTGACGATGTCGACCCCCAAGTATGGACATGCCTTCACCACTGGCAAACCTCGCTCCTGCATCGGCCCTGTCACGGCCCTTCGCGCCCACTTGGTGCTTGCCATCACTGCGCCTTTGCCCTTGCTGCCCACGGAGAACTTCAGGCCTAGCTCCTCGAAGCCTCGGAAGCAACTGTCAATCGTCTCTCCGAACTCCGTGACTATGTGCCTATGCTGCTGTCGCAGCCGTGCGCACAGGTCGTCCACATACATCCTCCAGCGCGCCCTCGGTCTTTCGACCACCAGGCCATCCACCGTGGATTGTATGACCATCTTCAGGAAACACACCGAGAACTTGCTACCCGCGATGATGGTGGTGACCGTCTCTGTCTCACTGGACACTGAGTCCCCATACGATGAGGCGCCTGGTCATGGCGAAGTATGAGCATACCACCGCCAGCACCCCTGTGTTGAACTTGAGCTGCTATCCCGCTTCCCACAGCACGTGCAAACTAACCTTCTCAAAAGCCTTTACCAAGTCCAAAACGGCCGTGACCGTCGCCTGCGTCTCCTCGCTCTGCTCCTCGACATCGTCCATCTCGTGGCTGAGCAACACCTCCCAAGCCGCGTCCTCAGCCGCCTTACCGTAGCTCGTGCAACCCCAGCTCCGATAGTTCTTCTTGGCCCACTCGACCATGTACGGCTCTCGCATGATCTCCCACGCCCTGATGGCGGTGGGCAGAAGCCCGATAGCCCTGTCCGTGGTGTAGGTCTTCGGGATCATGAAGAATAGCACAGTGCCCATGTGGATGGGCCAGCGCAGCGTCCGCTCCACCTCCATGTAGAAGTCCAACAGCTTGACGTAAGCCTCGTCCGACGCACCCTGCAGCAAAGAGGGGTGCCACCTGTCGACTCCGACCCCCGTCTTTTTCCTGAAGGTGCGCGCTACCTCCTTAAGCTTGTCGACGTCCTGGTCTGTGAAGGGCTCGAGCTTGTCGCGCTCTTCGCGCTCCCACGGCCGCTCCACTTTTTGGATCTGCTCGCCGACCCTCCAGACCACTTTCCACTCGTTGAGGATGTACTCGGCTGCCTCGATGGGATCCGCCGAGTCCTCCATGGAGCCTGCCCTACGCGGTTTCCATACTGCTGCAGCCTTGCTCAACTTGTGTAGACCACCCCCTGCTCCTGCTGCCGCCTCCTGCAACCTGTCTGCCCAGCGTGCTCGCCTTTCCTTGAGTAGCTTTTGGTCGTGCTCCTTCATCTTGCCCTGGCTCTCCTGCATCCATTGCTGCAACTTTGCTTCCTGATGCGCTCCTCGGAGTAGCCCGGCAGCCAGCAGCCCGCACCTGGCCTGCCACCTCCCCTGCTCCTTTGCGTTGAGGTGCTTGGTCCTCCGATGCGTGATGATGAACTGGTGCTCCTGCGCAATTGCCTCCTTCTGTCGGCGCCTCTGAATGTCGCCATTTCTCGCCGTCTTGAGCCTCGTGTATGCCCCTTGCAAGCTCTGTAGCGTTCTCGCGAGCCACCTCCACCAAACTGCTTCCCTGGCGGCTGGCGGCGCGTTGGCGCCACCGAAACTTAGCGGTTTGATCTCCCATGTTGGCTCCTCGGCTCGCCCTGCTGCAGGGTGGTCGGGTGCCCATTCGAGTCCTCGTGCCGCGAAGGCCTCCTGCTCCAAAGTCTGCATGTACTGCCTCCACTCCTGGTTGGCCACCTCCTGCGACCTGAAGCGCGCGATCTCTCGATGCTGCGGCGGCGCTGGGATGCATCCGATGCCCAGCTCTGGCAGCTTCTTTGGCTTCTCCAATGCCCTGACCATTCGCTCCTGCGCCTTGAGCCTGAGTGTTAACCCCACTGGCTTGTGGGGGGCCGACGGCCACTCCTCCTGCACTCTGACATGCATCACCTGGCTGACGAGGCTGTCCGCCACGATGAAATAGTCGATCTCGCTCACGCCGTACGCGTGTCTGCACGTTCCACAGCTGGCCCCTGACGCGACTACCCGCGCCTTGGCCATCTTGACGCTCTCCACCTCCGTCATCTTCTCAGGCGCCACTTGGAAATCGCCCCCGATTATCCACGGCACGCCGAGTGCTTCCACTTGGCATATCACCTTGTTGATGATCTCCGTGTTCCTGTACGACATCCCCTCTGCCGTCCACAGGTAGACCGTCGCGTAGATGATTCCCTTACCGACCGATAGCCATGCCGCTGCAGCCCTCCCTGGGCTGTTCCGCGGTGACAAGTCCCACTTCTCCTTGCCGAACATGTACGTCATGCCGATGCACCTGGGGACCGCGACCGCCGCGCCCGCCGAGGTGCCTGCTTCTCCACCTGGGCCTATCGTCGGGTTCGCTTCGACCCCGCCGAACTGGTACCCCTTCGCCTTCATGCTCTGCGACACGACCGCGATCTTGTCGCCCGTGAGGCGATGCTCTTGCACTGTGTAGCACTGCAGCAGGCCCCCTTCTGCGTTCTCGATCCTCTCTTTGAGGGTACCCCACCCCGAGCCGTTAAACGTCCACAGGGTGATGCTCTCGAACTTGTTCTGGCGATGCCTGCTAGGAGTGCTTTGCCCGCTTATTGTGCTCCGCAAGGCTGGCGCACACCTCGAGCCACCTCTTTCGCTGTGCTTCGCTGGCATCCTCAGGAACCCCACCTGCGTGTAGCCACTCTTGTTCTTCTGGCGACAGCTGAGGTCCCTGCTCGCGTCCTGCTTGTCCATTCCTGGCTGCGCCTGTGCCCCCGCTGCTGCCACCAGCAGGAGCATCACCAGCCTCTTCAGTGTCCATGCCGTCCTTGTCTTCCTTGGGCTCCTCCCTGACGTTGTCCAGCACCCTGGCGAGTGCTGCGAACACGTGCTCGTGCTCCTCTTTGCTGATGCCGCTTCCTTCGACGGCCCATTCGTACTGCTTCTGCATCGCCGTGAGGAAGCCTTTACCCTTGATGGAGGCGTCCTGCACCTTGAGCTCCGACTCCTTGGCCTTTGCGACCTCGAGCTGCTCCCTTTTCTTGGCGAGCTTCTCCTGCGCATCCTGCATCGCCTTCTGGTGCCGCTTGACCTCGCCATGGATGGCCGCCTCCTCCTTCTCGAGCTTCTCCCTGGCGACCCGTGCCTTGGTGAGCTGGGCCGAGTGCGGCTTCGTGCTCTGCTTGGCGTCCTTGGCCCGCATGTAGCGCTCATGCGCCTGCATGTACTCGGTGGACTGGTCTCCCCACTCGGATCTGCACGACTGCGCCCACCTGAAGAGCTTGTCAAGGTCCACTGGCTTCTCGTCGTCTTCATCCTCGTGGGTGGCGTGCTGTTGCTTCTTGAGGTCCTGAAGCTGCGCCCGCATGGTGTCCACCTGCTTCTGGAGCGCAGCCTCTCGCTTCGACGGGCCCAACAGCACGTCCTTGTACGTCGGTCCTTTGTCGTCCTTGCATGCCGATCCTTTACGTGCCTGGGCCCCACACCCCCGACACTTCTTGCGCGCAACGTAGTTGTCCGCCACGCCACAGCTGCAGGACCAGTAACCGTTGTTCGAGCAGCGCGGCCAGCCCCATGCCGCCATCGCGCACCCGACTGCCGAACGGTAAACCGATCTGCCTGCCGCGGATTAGCGGTATCCCTTTGACCACCAGGGCGAAAGCCCCGCGTGTTGGTCATCTTGAGCCAAAATGGCTACGGAAAAGAGGCCCTCCTGGGCTCCCAAGAGACCCCCAAAAGGCCCTCAAGAGCGACCCAAGAGGCTCCAAGAGGCCTCCAAGAGGCACCCGAGAGGCCCCCAAGAAGACCCCCGAACGGCTCCCGAGAGGCCTAGTAAGCTCCCCCGAGGCACGCATGACGCCTTCTCGTCCATGTCCTCGTCGTCCTCTTCGTCATTGTCCTCCTCCTCCTCTTCCTCCTTTTCCTCCTTCTCCTCCTCTTCCTTCTTCTCCTCGTCCTCTCGATCTCGTCCATATCCGTCGTCCGTGTCCTCGTCCTTTCCGTCCTCCTGCTCCTCCCCCATCCTCCCCCTCCTCCTCCTCCTCCTCCTCCTCCTCCTCCTCGTTGTCGTCATCCCCCTCGTCTTTGTTATCTTTCCTCCTCGCCCTCACTCTTTTAGTCCTCGTCCTCCTTCACCTCCTCGTCCTGCTCCTCCTCATGCCCCCCCCCCGCCCTCCTCCTCCTCCTCCTCTTCCTCCTCCTCCTCCTCCTCCTCCTCCTCCACGTCCTCCTCCTCTTCCTCCTCCTCCTCCACCGCCCATTCCCTTCCTCCTCATCCTCACTCTCTTAGTCCTCGTCCTCCTTCCTCCGTAGCCATTTTGGCGCAAGTCCGTAGCGTGGCCCAAGCGTCAGCAGCGGACGTGAGCATTCTGGCAAGGGGGCGCCGCAGAGGTGCACGCGGCCCCAACAGCTCTCCTGGCGTTTGCCAGGCATACTAACGTACCTTTCTTGTTCTTGCCAGCCACGGCACGCCGATGGGAACGGATGATTTGCTCTCAGCCCCTTGGCGAGCGGACGGGTCGACGAATAAGAAAGCCACTGTTGTACGACGCAAGCTGCACAGGCCCCCAGCCTCAGGGCCCACGTGGCGATGTGGTCAGTGCGGATGTGCACGCAACGAGGAGAGATGGCAGTGGTGCAAACATTGTTTTTCATATCGCACACCAGAACCAGGATGGACCCAGCCGCAGCACTGGCCGTCTTGGGCAGGCAAGTCGTGGTCAGGATCAGACAAGTCGTGGAATGACATCCGTCAGGGTTCAGAGCACCGTCTGCCGCTGGCCGCCGGCCTCCAGCCAGGGCCGAACTCCTCCACGCCAGCGCTTGCTTGGACGAATCTTGATGGCCTGGATGCTGCTGAGTTGGGTTCTCTGCTGGCCATCGCCAACAAGACGGGTGACAAGAACTTGGCCACGCGAGTTCAGGCACGCATCACCACCCTGGCAAAGCCTGCTCCCCCAGTCATCGAGAAGACCATGGAACAACGACTGGCAGAATCGCGACGTGAATGTGACAAGCTCCTTCAACGGCTCTCTCGTGAACTGGATAAGCACGACAAGTGGAAGGCCCAGCTGCAGGAGCACGAGGACTACATCATGGGCCTTCGTGCAGAGTTGGAGATCATGGACACCCAGCACGCTGAGCTCGCCCGCAAGCTTGCGGCCACGGGCAAAGCTGCCACTCCTGAACCTGGACCTGCGCCTGCGCGGATCAAGCTGGAGGACCTCGTTTCTGGCAAGGTGGGCACCCTGGACTTCGACCTGGGCCTCCTTTCAGACATGCCTGAAGGATTGGAGCTGGACGAGGAGGATCGTCTACGGATCGAAGAACGTACCACACAGTTGCGGGAGCTCCTTTCCACGAAGGCCAAGGATCTTTTCTCCTCAGCGCTGGACGAGGCCAAGCGCGTGGTCCAGGAGCATGAATCACAGAAGACACGGCTACTCGCCAAACGTCGGCGCGTGCAGGATGTTGAGGACATGGAACCCCAGTCCAAGCCTGGAGGTGCAGAGGGTTCCCAGCCAGAGACAGCTAGTGCTGGTGGTGATGGCGCAGAGACCACGTCCGAGCCCCTGGGCCAAGGCTCAGAGGGACAGGTCTCCCGACCAGAGCAGCAGGCACAGTTCGCCTCTGTCCGCGAGCGATTGGCCAAGTTCGAGCGCAGGGGGGGCCCCAACCATGAGGGCCCAGCAGCTACCTGATTGTGGGACATCTGTGTCAATTGGTGTGCTCAAGCTCATCTCGCGCACACCGCCCTTCCAATGCTACCCAGGCACGGACATTCCCTTTGGATGTGCATACCATGTTCTTGCTCACGCATGTGCTCCCTCTGGTCGAGCTATGTGGTCTGACAAATTCTGCTACGAAGCGCTAGACACAATTCAGAAGGTTCGAGCTATGATGGACTGGGCCCCTCATTCGCTTTCTGACGTGGTGACGGGGACCCCTTCGACGTGTACACCGAGTTCTATGCCGTCCTGGACAGCGTTCAGCACGGCTTCGGCGGGGGCGAGCCCGCCTGGCGCCACAGGCGCTACGGATACTCAGAAGAGCCGCGTCCTTCCTGGGACATCGCCTTCCACACGGTCAGTTACTGAGACGGCAGGAGGGCTTCAGGCGTCAGAACGTAAATCCTGGGCTGCCCAGAGCAGTGCAGGTTCACAGTCGCACCTGTGCTTTCCACCCGCCAGGGCACCCTCTCCACAGGAGGCGAGGGTCTCAGCGCGAGTGGGTGGGGGCACAGGAGTTTGCTGGACTCGCCTACCTTGGGAGGCTGGCAACGTTGGATATGACGAGACGGCTGCCGAGTCACCACAGGCCATGGGCCTGCCGCCTGCTGACGAGACCAGAGCGATGGCAGTTCAAGACTATGCAGATATGCGAGCTGACCTCAGAGAATGGGCAGCGGCTTGGTTTGACATACATCTTGGGCTAAACGCAGGAAGTGGTGATTGGCGGCTTTGGTGCGAGGCGTTTCTGCACACGATACTTGAGCGACAAGGGAACGAGCCCTTGCGCCGTTTGTTGCAGGCTTGGTTTCCAGGCCGCACCTTGCAATCTGTCATGGAAGAACTATGTGAGTCGGCATGGAGGCAGTCTGAGCCCAGGCGTGTGGCCTTCCTTGAGCGGCTTCGTACGGCGCCCATTGAGAGGCGTGCACAGCTGCAGCGCCGCCATTGGGCGCACTTGGATGAGCTGAGAGCCATGCTCAGGAGGCTTTTGGGCTCGACTTTCCCTACGGTGCGGCTTCCTCGCTCCAGACAGCCCGACTCAGAGGATGATCAGGCAGACGTTGACGCTTGCATTGCTCACCTGGTGATGTTGGCGGATGCGGAGACCAGTCTGGGACAGGCCAATCAAAGTACAGTTCCACACGCCATGCAACATAATTCTTCGGAGGCTCCAGACGTTTATCAGTGTGCTCCTCTGCCTGCGGACGGAGTTCGAGCTGCTCGGTGTGCTGACTTGGACGATCCAGACGCTGACCCCTTCGCCAACCTGGATGACCAGTTCGGGGACGAGGGGGAGCTTTGTACTGTGGAATCTAACATCGGATGCAGGCCTGACGCCATAGGCTCCAGCCCCACCCCGTCTCGGGATGTTTACCTTGGAGGCCCTGAGCCTGCGATCTTGGGTGTCTTGGGGAACTCCTCGTCGAGTCTGCCTATGCTGGATGCCGCTCGACCTCGGGACTGTAATGCGGAGTCAGAAACGCAGCAACGTGTCAGACAGACCCACGCTGGTGACAGCGCGCCCACACACGAAGAGCCAGCAGTTCTGCAGCACTGTACGTCCGACGAGCATGTGACGCTGCTCTTCGCGAACATCACCGAATGGGGCGCTAAGGTTCGCAGCTTTGTGAACAGTCACAAGCACACCTACGCCATCGTGGGGCTGGTCGAGACGCATGTCCCCGACACCAAGTGCGCCCACTGGAAAGAGGAACTCAGGAAGGACGGGTGGAGGCTCTCGTTCAAGGCAGGCTTTGCTTCTGGGAGGTCGGACTCAGGCATCTCGGCAGGGGAGTGGCTCCTCACGCGCTGTCACTTGGCCGCTACACAGTTTGATCGACTGAGGGACCAGGCGATTGCCGACTCGCGCATGGATCCCTTTAAAGGCTTCTCGGCCACCACGCTACACCCCAAGTCGGGCAACCTCGTCTACATTGCAGCGTACTTGCTACCGTCACTGGGGATCGCTCAGTACAACAATGAGGTGTTGGTGGCATTGGGCGCATTTACCAAAGCTCTGGCAGATCCTTGGGTGATTGTGGCGGACTGGAACAACGAACCGCAGAGTCTATTGGATAGTGGATGGGTTGACAGGCTCAGAGGTCGGCTAGCGCTTCCTAACTGCAAGTTCACGTGCGACAAGGGGCAGGGACGCATGTATGATTATGCCATTGACTCTAAGCAGCTTACTTCGGACCGCATCAGGCTCAGGCAAGTTTTAGCTGTTCCTTGGAAGACTCATTGCGCTATTGCCATTGATGTGCTGGACGCCAAGCGTACTTGGTGGCATAGGTCGCTGGAACTGCCAGAGCCGCTACCCAGGGCCAACCGCCCTCAGCAAGAGCCAAACCCAGACAGCAAGCGATCCCAGAAGCGCAAGCAGGTGGCATATGCACGCAGACAGGAACTCCCCGAAGAGCTGCGCGAGGCCTTCGACGACCTGCCATCTCAGGAGCCACAGCCAGAAGGCCCCAAGGTCGCGTTCAAGTTGGAGCAGGAAGCATGGCTCCAGATCTATGGCGAATTGGAGCAGGATACCTTCAGACCACGAACAGCGGCAGCACAGTTGTCGACAGGTCCCCTGTCGACCTGGAGGCCCACTCAACGCTCTACCTTGGATAATCGATATGGACGATGGGTCACTACCTTGGAGCGGTCTATTGTTGCGGTCAGCGATGTGGAAGACCCCGTTATGTTTTTCGGCAGAGGGCAAGGGTATTCAATTTCATGGAGGAAGATGCGCCCTGCCCCAGGTCGACCTCACATGTGCGACCCTGTAGCCGAATGGTGGGGGATCGCCTCCACGCTGCTTGCTCGAGGCGTGGCCTTGACACGCTCAGGCAGGGACCCTCCA